GCTATTTTTAAAGCCTGCTAAAGTTATCTGTCCTAGACCAGTGTAAATTGGGACTGTTGATTTTTAAAATCTACCCCATATTTAAATGACTTTTCTCATTACAAATACACTTGGGTCCATCCTAATATGAAATTCTGTTTACCATTGTGTCATATTCACCAAACCTAAACACAGGGTTGCCTAGAATTTGTAGGATTTCTTAGGCAGAGTTGGTGAGGTGTTAATTGGGCATGAGATTGTAAAGGCTGCTGTTTCAGCTCTGGCTGTAAGCACAAACCAATGGATTTGGCAGGGATTGGATTTGTGTGCTTCATGTTGCTGTCTGTCCCAAGCTGATAATGGACAGCTGGATAGATTCAGAATTAACGGTAAAGTGATATAAAATATTACTTGAAAGGTGACTGTAAATATAGAGGAAGAATAACGAAACCACACTGCAGCTAAATCACTCATGTTTTCACCCAACCGTGATGTGAACGTTGTAGGTTGAGGAACGCGTGACTGCATGACCGTATGACCGCATGACCGTATGACCGCATGACCGCATGACCGGATGACCGCATGACCGTATGACCGCATGACCGTATGACCGCATGACCGTGGCCGTTAATCAGAAGTCAGATGAGCTGAGCTGCTTCCCTGCTTCAGGAAAAAACCAGCTGATTGCAGGTCACAATGTACATTAACACAGGTGTGTTTGGCTGAAACGGTCATGAAATGAAAAATGAAATTATCCTTTATTTGCAGAGGTACATTGGAATGTTTGGTCTTGCATATCCCATCGTGTTCTCATCTGAGACACACACACACACACACACACACACATATATATATATATATATATATATATATATATATATATATATATATATATATATACACACACATGAGTTCAGAGCAAAGCCTAGGGTTCGAGCATGGGGTCATTTAGTCCTAGAGCACTTTGGGAGTTAAGGGCCCCGCTCAAGGGCCCAGTGGAGATGTAGCTATTCTGTCAAAGTCGGGGCTCAAGCTGGCAAGTTTCTAATCACAGGTATAGAGGGTCAGCCCCCTGAAGCACACGCTGCCCCCTCATGGTCTTCCAGGAATGGTACCGGGGGTATATAGGCTACACAAAAAAGAAAAACAAATAGTGCAGTAAGAGGTTTGTTACATCTGGGGTGCAAAGGAAGGGATTTTGGGGGCAAAGGGGCCATATGAAGGTCACAGATGTCACCAGAGCTAAAGGTCGCGCTTTGAGGCGGTAAAGTGAACGGTAATTCCCAGGATAAAGGGGATGAAAATGGTGCCTTTGCCGTTTCGGTTGGGCCTGCAAGAGCAGAGAAGGTGGGTGGAGAAGCAGCGGAACCTATGATAACCACTGTGAGCACCAGAGGTGTAGCGACGGGACAGGCAAGGATGATAACCACTGTGAGCACCAGAGGTGTAGCGACGGGACAGGCAAGGATGATAACCACTGTGAGCACCAGAGGTGTAGCGACGGGACAGGCAAGGATGATAACCACTGTGAGCCCCGAGGACCCCGATTACATAGTACATTGCAGCGACTAAAGACCTTGTGTTTATTAAATTCTCTTTGTTGATATTATTCATTTAGATTTCACCATGTCGGGGGAGGGTGAATTGGAGGGGCCCATGGAGTTTTTTGCTGTGCCTCCCCGCCCCCCCAGAGCCCCTAGAGTCGCCTCTGCTTGCCACCCAGCATGCAGTGCTGAATTCGCACATCTTGCCCCCTGATGGAGGCTGAGAGCTACACAGACGTGCATCCAGGGAGCTTTTATTTATTTATTGAAAAGCTAATAAAACTTTATAAGTAGAACAATCATTTCGCAAAACACTTAATGAAAGTCCTTATATGCCCCAATTCCGACAGCACAGTATTAAATACAAAGAGTAACATGCTTTTCTTTTACAATTTACCTTTATGAGTGCTCTAAAGATTAATGGTGCTTTATCTCGCTTGTTAGACAGTGTTTGCAAGGGCGTTTGGAAGAAGCAGCGTGGACCCTGATGAACAGGGTGTTTCCTTTAATATAACAAGGTGCTGTTTTATAAAAATAAAAAAGTACACCATCCCATAGAAGATTATTTCCAGATTTCCCCCATAATTTTTAATAAAATACTTTTGAAAGTCTGCCATTAATAGAAGATTATTTCACGATATTATTTTTTATCTGTATAATTCATTCTTCCAGTGACTCACAAAGCTCACGGTTTTAAAAAGAAAAAGCCTTTTATCTTTGCATATTTAGTTAGGGTGGAACAAGATGTCATATTGAAGTTGATTCTCACAAAGACTTCTAGTGTCTCTTAAGGGGAGCATGGCGTCTATGAATATATGACTGTTGAAACAGGTTATATAGTGAATTATAAAAGTTTGCCTAGACTAGAACACCCACTTAGTAAGGTAAAGAAAAAAATCTGTTACAAAGAAGTTTCCAGTAAGGTTTCATACTACATTTATATACTGACCTTCAACAGCATCACATACTTAAGTTTCTATGCTCGTTAACCAGGAGTTCAGTTGACAGCTAGACTAATATACTTTAACTAAATAGAAATTACAAGTAAAAAGCCAAATGCAGTGACTGACATATTTTTTATTTCATCATACATCATGCAACCAGTGACATAAAAAAATTATATATGTGTGTGTGTGTGTATACACACGACCAGTCAAAAGTTTTTGTACACCACAGATTTGAACTACTTTTCCATTTATTGCATAAACTGCAGATTTTTTATTCTTGTAAAGTATTGGAAAGTTGAGTGAACAACTATAAATGAAAATATAAGTGAAATAAAACAAGTTTCCTTTATAACATGGAAAGAGTATGTAACGTGTCTGACATCCTATTAACTGGTTGTGTGGTGATGGCAGAGTCAGATTCTAGGCCGTCCTTTAACTTTAACTGTTAAAGCACTTTTAACTGTTTCATCCCATGACACACAGCAGTATTTAATGTCCCTTGTAGAAAGAATGTCTCAGATTTTCTCTGCTGTTATAACTGCTAGAGCAGGTTACTTTGATGAATCAAAAATATGACATTTTCTTGCTAATAACGGTACTCAAATGGTGAACATACTGTAAATTTATTTGTTAGCAAAGATAGACTTTGATACATGGTTTTATACATATATTCATATATGTATATTCATGTATGTATACATGATTTCTGACTTTAAAATGCACTTTGAAAGACCAATGCATTAAGGTTTTTCCACCTTATTATTTTGTTGCCAAGGCAATGATTTATTCATTTATTCAGGTGGGTATTTTACTGCAGCAGTTTGACCAGAGTACATCGCCAAGGGGATCGACAGGAGAGTCCTTTCCTGCCCTTGATGTGGCAGCGTGTGAGTGTTTAGTATGGCCCTCTTTCAATGCCCTGTCTAATATTTTTACAGATCATAAAAGGAACTTGGTCTGCAGATGCCTTTTTTAACCTTTTAAACATCTCATTGGAAGCTTTTGGCCTGATGTTTCTAAAGCGTTTTGCAAAACTATATATTTTATTTATGAAGCACATTGAAAATTATTTCATTTGCATGGATTTACAGAGCTGGGTGCCCCCCAGAATCATTTATATTAAGTAGCTCCAGACCATGTTATCGGAGCGCAGCTTGGGAATTGAACTTGCAGTGATTGTAAATTGAAACCCCCTACCTGTAAATCAGTTACCATATCAGATGAAGGTGATTAGTTACCGTCTATCTCCACTCTGGAAGTTCACCTTGGAAGCTGTACCCTCTTCGTGTAGCCAGGTCATGTGACATCATCTCTAAACTGGCTACAGTGTGTGAGCATATGTCCACGCATATGGCTAGTATCCCATCCAGGGTGGATGAGGGGTTATGGAAGACGGATGGATGGATAATTATCTTTTATTTGATTTAATGAGAAATCCTTCAGCAAACCATATCACATTTTCAAACTTGTCCTCTTTCGTTTTTCAATGTTTTCAGCCGTGTTCCAGCAAGCTTTGCTGATTCAGGTCATTCATGGTTAAACTAATGATGCGCCTGAATTGTTTTCATAGCTACGGGGCGTTTCGCCCGTGTCAGCGGCAAATTATTCAAATACTGCAATTATTTATGCTGCTGGGTCACCGAATGTTTGTATTTTATATGTCAGCATGCAGCAGTTTTATGGCCTCCTTTATAATATGGGTCTTGGCACTATTTTGGGGTGATGCATTACACAGAATTTTACAGTTCAACCTCTCACATATTCTCACATATTAAGAAGAAAAAAGACTGTCAGAGAAGTGACACACGTGTGACAGAAAGGACAGATTCCAAGAAATCATGATATGTTTCCTCTTAACGTTTTCATACGTTAGATAAAACATAGATTAATCATATTACCCCAGAGACAGCAGAGCAGAAAGAGAAGCATTAGCTTTTGTTAATGCTTGTCACATGTCTACTCTGACAACTGGATTAGACAATCTATAAAAAAGGCACATTAAAGTAAAACAACTGTAAGGCGAATGCGGGGTTATGCAGTCTGGTTAAATGTAACAATTTGCAAGTCAGTTTCACATAAGTACTAGAAAGAAATTTACCATGGATACATCTATTAGGGTTAAAGTGGCTTTCCAAGCAAATATTTGAATAGCATTTTAAAATTTGTTATTATTGAGTGGTCAAGACAGTTATAATAATAATTAAATATGTATTTTCAATCGTATCCAATCTGTAGAATAGAATAGAATAGAATAGAATATATCTTTATTGTCATTGTAGATACAACGAAATGTGAATGCCCGACTTCCAGTGCAAAAAAATAAATAAATAAAATTAATTAGTAGCTAGTTTATGTGCATTGTGAAGAAATCAAATAAATATGTATAGCACTGAATGCCTTAGTCTATAGGTCTGAAGGTGGTCTCTCTCTCTCCCCAGTGCCTCTGGTCTGGATGAGTCGTGTTACTGTCTCTGTTTGTGGTGCTGTAACAGAGAGAGACACTGCGCTCCCTTTGCTCTCTTCCTGCTAGAGTATAGTGGATCTCCCCCCAGCTGGTCAAAGCCCCACGCTCAGCAAATGGAAGAGGGGGCAGGCTGTCAGGCAGCTGAATTTGAGTGTGAGTACAAAGGGCTCCCAAAACCACATTTCTGAGGGGATCACTGCTCATCACACACGTCCGCACGTGTCCATGCATGTCTGTGACCATCTGGAGGGCCCGTCGACTCTCCCGGGCTGCCTGTGTAATTGGGGAAAAATATAGGTTTAAAGATTACTTTGGACAGGTCATTTATCCCACTAGCTTGCAGCAGATAGTGAATTTGACATGAGTTAATGTTGGATTCAGACTTCAGGTTGGAGGAATCTGTCCTCATCACTCAGTGTCCTGTCTTTCACATCGTCATCAGTATCATCATGAGTCTGTTTACAAATAAACGAACAATTTGCCACGTAGAAGTGCTACCTCCGTAGAGCGGATCTTATCCAGCACTACAAAGCTTCGGCTCTTACTAACTACTTGGTAGAAATAAAAGGAACTGGTTTTAAACAAAGCGATTGGGATGCAAATTGTGTCTGATATGAGCCGTGCAGAAGTGCGTAGGTATGAAGAGCCACAGCTCCTTAGCTAACTGCTTAGCGAAAATAAATGTCTTTTATAACAGCTGCAGAGATGGGAGAACATTACAAGATCCTACACACGTGTTGCTATGGAACATGGGCTTTGGCAACTGACATCTGCTCACATTTCTATGCATTTGTCTTAAGGAAAATCCTCCTCTTCTAAGAATTTGTTCCCAGGTCTTGCTGAGGACCATTTGAAGTCATTTGCATGGTAATTAGACACTATTAGAGCAACATGCCTCTCTCTGTGCA